CTTTTCTTGGCATCTAATGTTTCATTGGACCTCGTTGTTCTTTTCAAAAAGCAATTGTGTGACAATAAAAAGGGGGTATCACAAATACAGCATATAGGACCTACTTATAGGTCCAGAGGAAAGCTTTACTGCCTTCAGGTTGTCTCATCAACAAATCTTTCTCTCCACACCCCAACTGCTTTTCTGATCAGAATCTTTGATTCCCTACAGGATCAAGGGGCAGAAATGGGGAGCAGATCCCTCTGATGAAAGTGCGATCTACAGTGTTGTGAAGAAACCTGAGCTCCTCTCAAAGGTACGTATTCCTTTTGATCCAGAAACCTCTGGGTTGGATGACTTGCCATCCCCGTGTCTGTGGTTCTCTCTTAATCCTATATTATACCCAAGAAACAAAGATATTGGGTCAGCCATGCAGTTGAAAGGAGAAGGGAATCAACTCTAAAGAGATCTGGTCCTGCCAGAATCCTGTTAGTGTTCTATGCATGCATAATTTAAACTGCATAACTCACCAGGCTGAATTGTCATTAACTAATGAGGCGACTATTGTGGTACTAGGCATTTACCTGTTACGCAACAGGCATGTGGCTCATAACAAGGCTAGCACCTTTTTAATTAATGGTAATTTGCCATGGTGAGTCACCAATTGCCCCTTTCTCATGTCTGAGTCACCAACAGGATTTTGACTTTGGATGTCATCCATCTGGCAATGCCGATATACATGACTTAGCATAGCACTTCCCAATGCACACTGCTAATTTCCCATTATGTACGGCCACATGACTCTTGCAAGCTGTAATGATGGCAGGTGTGGTCTTACACATCAGGTGGGGAAAGGCTGATTCATGTCCCAGAGATTCAGGGAATAGCATCATTCATGACTAGAGATTCGGTCTGTTTATGTGTATCCCTAGGCTGGCTGGATAGCTCAATGAGTTGGATATCTGGCTATGGAGACAAAGATTGGGAGTTCAATTCCCTATTGTTCATTCCAGAAGAGCCAAACTGCACAGTCCCAGGAACCTCCAGAAGAAGGGAAGAACAGTGGTGCCTCGCTTTACGATTGCCCCGCATTATGGCGAATCTGCTTTATGACGATGGTCTAAATGGGGGAATTTCACTTTGTGATGATTGGTTCCCTGCTCCGGGAACTGATTCTTCGCAAAATGATGTTTTTCTAACAGCTGATCAGCTGTTTCAAAATGGCCCCCGGGTAATTAAAATGGCTCCCCGCTGTTAGGGACAGATTCCTCGCTATACAGGCAGCGAAAATGGCGGCTGTATGGAGGATCTTCACTGGACGGTGAGTTTTTACCCCATTGGAATGCATTGAACGGGTTTCAATGTGTTTCAATGGGGTTTTTTATTTCACTTTACGATGTTTTCGCTTAACAGCAATTTTCCTGGAATGGATTATCGTTGTTAAGCGAGGCACCTATAAATCACTTCTGAATACTCACTACCTAGGAAAAGGGTCTCCATAAGTTGAAATTGATTTGGCAGCACATTGTTTTGATGTCACCATAATCTCATTTTTAAAAAAAGTATGTGGTGTCAACTAAGCAATGGTAGTTGATCAGGGCAGGGCAGGGCAGTGGGAGAAGCTTTGGTGTTATGAATGTACCAAGAAGATTATCTGGGTTTTGGTCTAGCACACTTACCAGTTGTCCTCCTGGCAGCTATGCAGGGTGTCTCCTTAATAGTTTTTTTTTTTTCAAAAGTGCCTTACTAATTTTCTGTGTGCAGAACTAATGTGAAATCACTTAAGCTCATACTAAACCTGCAATGAATATTCTCCAGTCTAAGGTTTTCTGAAGTTGTATAGTGCTGTTTCAGTAAGTGAGACTATGCTCCACCAAGCCTTCCCTTAGAAATGCTCTATTCCTGTGAGAGATCATTCTTTTCCTCCAATTGTTGTCTCTCTTTGAATGCCTTTTCTACTCATTTCTTTTTTGGGGGGTTTATATCTTCCTGTGTGAGTGGTGGATAGGAGGAGAGTAGATAAAGGTTTGTCTGCACCTTGC